GTTGAGATATTCTTAGAAACACACAATAAATAAATAAATAAATGCCTCAAATGATTTTTATAGACCAAGATCAAGCAATAGCCAAGGCTCTTGTCCAAGTAATGCCTGAGAAACATCATATTTTATGCATGTGTATCTTAATGCAAAATGAATAAAACACGTTGACAATTTGATAAAAGGAGAAAGTCATTTTTTAAGAGATTTAAAAAGATGCATAAATAATGTTGATACTTCAATTAAATTTGAGGAGGCTTAGACAAGGTTGATTACAAAACACAATGTTCAACAAAATACTTGGATTATTTTACTTTATTTCATAAAGGAGAAATAGGCATTACGATATCTCAAGGATGTTTTCACCCTTAGAATGCAAAGTACTCAACTAAGTGAAAGCTTGAATTTTGATTATTTCAAAGCTTGTAGAAACCTGGTGTTGACATAAAGCAATTCTTTGGATACTTTGAATGACTTATTAAAGAGAAGTGTTACCACAAGTTAACCATGTTACAATATGAGGGATCACAAATACTAATACAAATAGTTAAGATATGCACACATATAGTGTTTAACTTATTCCAATAAGAGTTTGTTCAATTCTTGACTTGTTAAATATCACAAAGGATTGAAAGTCATCATCTAATTGAATATGTCATTACTAAAGTAAACCAACAAAGGTCATGGACAGTTATATTTGATATTTCCTCAACAACTATATCTTGCACTGGTAAAAAGTTTGAAACATTTGACATATTTTGTTGTCATACTTTGAAAATGTTTGAAAATAATGATGTAAAGGTTTTCCTAACAAATACATACTTAAGAAATGGACAAAACAAGGTTGTTGTGGGATTATTCACAATGTAAAAGGAATAGAGGTCGAAAGAGATCTTAAACTTAATACCATATGTTGATATCGTCACCTAGCATGTAAAATGATTAGGTTGGCCTCTAAGGCATCTCCTACACAAGAATATTATCAACTAGTTGATGACACCATTAACAAGAAAAAGAAAGTTAATAGGGAGCCTAACCCTATTTTCTGAAGCTCTTGAGAGACGAAGAGTTTGGGATATGATCATAAGGCAGCGCCATGATAAGATTTTAACACTTTAATAAGCCAAATCAAAAAATTGTGCTTACAAGAACAAAGAAATATGAAAAATAGGGATAATGTAGAAGTTATGTTTAATAATGATGCTACACAACCTAAGGAACTCAAGCACCGACCAAGCTTTAAAAAGAGGGGGGATAAATAATTAAAAATTGAGTTGAGCAACAACCAAAGAAAAAGAATAATAGAACTCTAAATTTAGTTCAATCAACATCTCAAATACATTTTATAATCATTTTTAATATCAATAAATATTTGTATTTAAGTGGCTTATTGTTACTATATAATTATTTGTACTTGAATATGTTTTAAGAATATCAATCAATGCTTTGTGATCCATTTGAAGTAAATTGTTTAGCACCTCCGTGTTATGATCTCCCTCACACATTAGTCAATCAATTCAATTTAACATATTTCTTTATAATAATATTGTTCAAGTGAACTTTATATCAATCAAATTTTCTTTTTTTTTTCTTTTCTAAGAGATGGTTGTTCATAATTTTTCTTCTTATTTTGTAGTGACAACTTGATGATATTAATAGTTCAATCCTTTATTGAAATTGATTCCTAAACCACCAATTTCTTTTATTTTTTTGTTAATCAAGTAATTGTCTGCCCAATATATAAGTTTAAAACTATGTAAACAAATTTATTTAGCTTAACCTTGCATGATATCTATTTCTGCATAATTTACTATTTTTTTGCATAATTCGCTTAAGCGACTCGATACTTGTTTAATTATTTCCCAATTTGCTACATATTACCACTATTGGCTTTAACCGCAAAAGCATTCACTTAAGCAAGTATTGAGTTGTTTAAGCGAATGACATGCCTCAAATAAATAGATCTTTATGCTTATTTTACTTAAGCAATAGCTTATCCGCTTAAGTGAATTCTTTTTAACTTAAGTAAGTATTGAGTCGCTTAAGTTAATGACAGGCCTCAAATCAATGGCTCTTTGTCCCAAATTTGCATAATTTTAATTAGTTTTACTTGGAAGTGCTTAAGCAATCTAATATTAGCTTAAACGACAAAAGTTTTGCTTAAGTGAGATAACCCTAAAGGCTCTTTTCACTTGCTTAGGCAAGGTTCACAATGATTTCTTTCTCGTTTAAGCTATGCTTTGGTGGCTTAATTGAATTTTATTTATTTTTACCTAAGTCAGTCAATTTTTGCTTAAGTGAAATCGCATTGTAGGCTAGAGTTCATGCCAAAACTACAAGGGATTTAAATCTAAAGCACTTAGCTTTGGCATTGAAGGCGAGAACCAAATCAGAAGGCTCTAAGGGAGGAGAATCTTGAGGTAGGAAGAAAAAACGAAGAAAAGTCAAATGATGTGTTTAAGAATTTGTTTGTAAATATTTTTAAATAATAAAATATTAAAAAAATAATGTGGCAGGATTAAGCGTTAACTAGCTCGTCACTCAAGTTATATTTAGCAAAACAAGCTGAAAAGTATAAGCTTCCAACTTCTAGTTATGAAGCCAATTAAAAGCTTATAGTTGTATAAGTAACTTATATAATTAAAATTATTTGACAAACTAATTGTGTACAACTAGCTAATTTATATTGAATAACTTAAAAGAATATATTAACATAATATTAAAATTAATTATCACTTATTTTATTTATTTACAATTAATTAATTAAATAATATAATAAAAAAGTAAAATTTCTCTTTATATATATTTAAACATGAAATATTCTAAACCATATATTTTTTTAATATAAAATATATTTAGATAAAAAAGATGGAGGAGCAGATTAAAAAGTAGAAAAAAGAAAAAATGAACAAAGTATTGTGAAGGTGAAGAAAATAAAAGACATATGTCCATATTTTTTTAATTGTATAATAAGTAAGTTGTCTTTTAAAAAAAAAACATAAAGGATAAAAATTTAATAGAAATATTAGTATCTAGTTTTTAAAAGTTAAAATCTATTTTAAATAATTTTTTAAAAATTATAAGTTCCTTTCATTTTATATTTATTAAATAGCTTTATAAATTTACTAATTAAGTTAATGAGCTACAAGTTCATCTTTACTAACCTTAACTTAGTAGAGAAGAAAACAACATAAACTAAAACATTTTAAATAAGTAAAACACTGAATCTTAACAAAAAAATTATTTAAAGACTTATAATAAAAAATGCTACTTTTACGAAGATCAAAAACATATTTAATTCTATTGTTTACTATAAAATTTGTATTAAGATGACATATATTTATTATTTATATAAATGAATATATTGAATTATTTAATATATAAATTATTAATTTAACTATTTAATACTTTAAGTATATTTAAAATATAGTATATATATATATATGACATATAATTATAATGAATTAATTATGTGTTTCTTATGAATAAAAAAATATTATATTTTAATGCTTTTATTAATTAAAACTTTTAATATTGAGTTTAAACACTTAAAAGGATAAGCTTGTATTTTAAAGTGTTTATTATATTAAAAAAATATAATAATTTTTTTATTTTATTAAAAATTATTACTATTAAGTGTTTAAATTTAACTTTAAAGACAAATGTTAATAAAATCATATTCTTAATTTTTATTTATTTTATAAATTTATAAATTTTTAAAATAAAATTTTATTAGAAAATTCATCTTTTTAAGAAATAAAAACTCTTATTTAAGAAAAATTAATAATTTTTCAAGATATTAAATTATTATTAACACATTCAAGAATACACCCTTTAAAAAAAACTGTTTTATTTAAACATCAAAAGTAAACTAAGGACTTACCTTCTTTAAAATTAAAAAATACATAAAGTTAGAATGTGAAGTTTATTTATGATTAATTTCAAGTTTTTCATATTTATAAAATACTTTCAAATAATTAAAATATATTTTTCTTTATATATTTTTTCATTTTATAATGTTATTTATAATTATTTTGATCATATATACATCTATAATATTATTTAAATTTAAAAGAAATTTTATCAATCAATATTTTAAAACATTAATTAAAGGATAAAAAACAATAATATTTTACTAAAAAATAAGTTAAAATATATTGAAAATTATAAAATAAATGCATTTTACAACTTTTTAGTAAACTAGTTGAATTTTTTATTTCATAATCAGTGACGTAAAGACAAAGACACAGGCAGCGTTGTGGAACACAGGAAAAGTCAAACGGATCATGTGTTTCGCAGTTCACTGAAAGAAAAACAGAACAGCCGCATTGAAATCAACAATTACTGAGCCCAAAGGTTGATGTCGGCAAAAGCTTTGATTTGCTACGGTGTGAATAATTCTTCCCAATATGGAAAATTTGGGTTCCAAAGCAATATCATTACACATAGGAATTCCATACTCCCATAGTTTTACTTACTCATTGACTAGTCATGGTCACCCAATAATATCATTTTTTGCTACACCTTTTTGAACTGTCTTCACAACACTCGTATCACGGATCATCGCCTGAGTCATTACGTTTCAACCCATGTTTTGTTATATCATCTATTCTAAGGGTTACTATTCAGTACAACCTAGACATTGTGTTTAGTCTTTTTCTTTCTTTTCTTTGCTAAAATTCAACGCAATTACATCATCACCCATACCAATGAGTACTATATGTTTTCTGTGACATTGACAACAAGTGAAAATAAATATCTCATCCTTATTCGTGTTTTTATCATAGTATTCCTTCGTCTTTACTATTGGTAATCCACGTCGATGTAATGTGCAAGTGGCAAAGTCAGAGAACCTTACTTTAGCAAGTAGCAACTAGGCAACAAATGCAGCCGCCCAGCCACCGCCTGAGAAAAGCGCGTGCACAAACACTCGTTTCTTTCTTTAATCGCTGATAATGATTGAATATAATAATACACGCTTGTTGCAACTAAAGTTTATTGTCCTCGTCCACGTCGCGCGTTGCTCACACTCTCCTCTCATGAAAGCTGAGTTAAACAGCAGATGCACCTAACCCAGCGAGCCGCCAGAAAATAAGAGGTTTTACGCTTTGACCAATCTGATCCTGATGATGGATGACGATTCTCTTCCCAATTTCCATCCATCTCCCTTAACCGCAACTTCACAAAACGGCATCTCTTGTCCCTTTGCAAACCCAGATTCATAAATACAAACAAAAACATCAAGCTCGCTCGCAACACAATCATCGTGTCGTAAGTACTTTGGTTCGGAAAGGATGAAGATTGTTGTGTTCTTTGCAGTGTTTCTTCTTCTTCTATTCATGAGCTCAGCAGCTCCATCTCCTCCCTCCTCTACATCATCAGCAGCATGCCCTATGGACTTGAATTACGTGCTTAGAATCCCATGGAACTCTTCTGCTTGCCAAAGCTTCCACCCTTCGACATCAAAAAATGTAACAAATCCAAGCACTTGTTGCATATCACTGTTGTCCCTCTTTGGCATAGGATTGGCACAGCACCTCAAAGAGACCTCTCAGTTCCAACTTCCCAACCTTGCCACCTCCATTTCATGCCTTGAAGACTTCCAATCAAAGCTCACTTCTCTCTCACTCTCCAACAACCTCGTCAATTCTTGCTTTGACCCTCTTCAGTTCGTCATCTCTCCCAACATCTGTGCTGGAATTCAGACCATCCCTGATTGGATCACCAAGCTTGGTCAATCCACGTCACTCAACACTGCGTGTAAACCAGATCTTACTGATCTTTCCCTCTGTGATCAGTGTCTTGCGGCTGGGTTACAGGTCAAGCAGAAGCTTATTTCCATTGATGGTAATGCTTCACATTCCATAGATTGTTTTTACTTCGCCATTCTATATGCTGCTGGAATAGTCAATAAGTTTGGGCCTGAAAGCAATGGTGCTGTGACTTGCATTTTTAGCATGTCAGTTTATTCACAAGGAGAGTCTGGGGGAAAGGGTCATCAGGCTCTTGTGTTTGGGTTGACAGGAGCTGGAGTTGCATTGTTGGTGATGTCTTCTTTGTTGGGGTTGTATGTGTGGTATGACAGGAAGTGTCGGAGGAAAAAGCTTGAGACTTTTCAGTTCGATTTTGACCCTGAGGAACAAGGGTCTAGGCCTAGATTGAGACCCAATACGGGCTCCATTTGGTTCAAAATTGAGGAACTTGAGAAGGCTACGGATAATTTTTCATCCAAGAACTTCATAGGGCGGGGGGGATTTGGGATGGTTTTCAAGGGAACCTTGTCTGATGGAACTGTGGTTGCGGTTAAAAGGATTCTGGAATCTGATTTTCAAGGGGATGTTGAGTTTTGTAATGAGGTGGAGATTATTAGCAATCTAAAGCACCGTAATCTTGTGCCTCTTAGAGGCTGTTGTGTGGCTGAAGAGGATGAGGATTATGCTGACAGGGGAAGCCAAAGGTATCTTGTATATGATTACATGCCTAATGGGAACCTGGAAGACCATCTCTTTGCATCAACGGACACTCCGAAATTAGCAAAGAGATCATTGACTTGGCCTCAGAGAAAGAGCATAATCTTGGATGTGGCAAAGGGGTTGGCTTATTTGCACTATGGAGTTAAACCTGCAATCTATCACAGGGATATCAAAGCCACCAATATACTACTTGATGCAGATATGAGGGCAAGAGTTGCGGATTTTGGGCTTGCTAAACAAAGCAGGGAGGGTCAGTCTCATCTCACTACTAGAGTGGCTGGAACACATGGTTATCTAGCCCCGGAATATGCACTCTATGGTCAACTCACTGAGAAGAGTGATGTGTATAGCTTTGGTGTGGTTGTTTTGGAGATAATGTGTGGGAGAAAAGCTCTAGATTTGTCTTCATCAGGATCACCCCGGGCATTCTTGATCACGGATTGGGCTTGGTCATTGGTGAAAGCTGGCAAGATAGAAGAGGCTTTGGATGCTTCCCTGTTGAAAGATGAGAATTTTCCTAGTTCAAATCCTAAGAGCATAATGGAAAGGTTTTTGCTGGTGGGAATCCTGTGCTCTCATGTAATGGTTGCTTTGAGGCCAACTATTGCTGATGCTTTGAAGATGTTGGAAGGTGATATTGAAGTTCCACAAATCCCAGATCGCCCTATGCCTCTTGGCCATCCTTCATTTTACAATGATAGCAACACTTTTAGCATATCTCCAGCATTAAGCGGCCCCAAATTGCACTCTGGAGACATGCTCAGGTAACAAAGAAGTTACCTTAGTTCCTTATATTGCTTAAAATGTAGAAAGGTGGAAGCTGTTTTCATTCTAAGGTCTGCCCCATTTCATGTTTGGTAACATCACTTCATTTGTTGTTAATAAACTGATGAGTGTCATGGTACAAGTGAATTTCCTCCCACCAAGTGCTCTTAAGATCTCAAGACCGAAGCTAGCAATGACTATAGGTCTTATTGTGCCTCAAGAATTCTTCTATGCAGTGTTATAAAGCCAACCATGAAGAAACTTAGATGTTAGCAGGGAATCATTATAAACGGTGTCTCTTTAGATCAACTACCAAGGGAGCTAAGGTTCTCTTAGTTAGCTGGCAATAGGTATAGTATAAGACTTTAGGACATAGGAAAAATATCTTGTAAAAAGTTGTTGAAATTTTCACTTTCATTTGTTTTCTTCTTAATTTTGTTGTAAAACAAGGCACAAAAAATTACTCCAGTGTATAAAGGAAAATGTTGAGTTTGCCAGAACGTTAATGCTATTGGTGTTTTTACAAGTTCAAGTGATGTTGGGCTGACTTTTCCTTTCTCTCACCCAAGTCTCCCCTGTTTTATATTGGTTGTTATATTTCCGTGTTATACTGTATCGGATTTAAGTAATTAATTTACCATTTTGCTATGTTTAAAACAGGTCCATTAGTGAGAGCTAAGCCCTTCAAAGGGATCAGCAAGCCCAGAATCTAGCTTATTACTATTTTTTCATATACAGAACCATAATCTCTTTGTTTTCTATTTAATAAGTCCTATTTGTAATTTTATTATTTAGGAATTCGTGTAATGCACAATTTTTTTACTTTGTTATAGATAACTATAAAATATTTAATAAGTCTTATATCAGTGATGACTCAAGTACTATAGCACATGAATATTATTAAATATAAAAATTAATACAAAATTAAAAAGTATATTATATCACTTTTTAAATTTAATAAATTTAAAAGAAAATTATTATTATTATTATTATTATTATTATTATTATTATTATCAAGTTTATTATATTAAATAACATCAGATTAAAAAGATAAAATTTTTAAAATCAAGAAAGAACTTATGAAAAAAATACAATTTTAAAATTAATCAAGATTATTTTTTAAAAAAATATATCTAAATGCAAGAGAAGTGAAAAATAGACTATTATATGTAGTAGACTGTCTTGAATAAGTAATTTTATTTGAGTCTCATTCTAAAATAATAAAACAAAATTTAAAAATTTTGTATTCAATTTATATAATAAATTATAACAAAATAAAAGAAATAAAATAAATTTTTCTAAAAACAAGTAATATAAAAATATGATAAAATTAAGATTTTTTTATAAATAAATTCTTTCAAGAAACTTTACAAAAACACCATAAATAATAAATAATAAATTGTATCTAAATAATTAAATTTACACTGGAGTTATAACATCTATATTCTTTTTATTCATAAATTTTGATAAAACTTAATTAAAATAGGTAACATTTTATATGAATTAAGAAATGTTAATGTTAATTTAAATATTAAAACAATAGAAGTTATCAAGATCTTAAAACTTTATAGATGAATCTTATTCATAACATAGAAATATATTTTTGTAATTTAAATTTAACATTAAAAATAAGATTGAGGGAATTAATTGTTGAATATTATAAATATAATTTAAATCTTTATTTAAAGTAAACTTTATCAAACCTTTTAAGTGTCTAAATTTGACATCAAATTATTTACATACCAGAATCAATTTCTAACTAAGACTTAACTAAAATTATTACAACTTTAATACAATTCAAATTCTAACAGAGTAGATTCTTCTTTATAGCACTACTGAGAATATGATCCTATAACATATTATCCTTAATTTTAATCCTTAAAAATGATTGTAAGAGTGAGTATTTATCGTTCCTCTAAATCCTTTATTTTATGAATAAAACAGTAATACATAAACATTCTTTAGTTTAGACAACATTTTATACAAATCCATACTCTCAAATATTTAGACCAATAGTCATTCCAATTTTCTCTTACAGACAATCAACTGCACATTCACAAAAATACATAATCATAATAATGTTCCTAATAAAATATAGTTAAATCATCAAATAATTTTGCCAAAGGTTGAACACCTCTTGACTCAATTCCAATCGTATAGTTAAAACATATTGAGATTAAATTACATATTATAGTCACATTATTGAAAATCGCACTCTCTTTGTCTTTAATAAAATCATCTATCTTAAAATTTAGTCTTTTTTTCAATACACATTATTGAATATAATAATTCACAATATCAACTATACGTACATAATAGTCAATAGCAAAATCATAGAAACTTCTTAAAATATGTTTTATTCATAATCTTTACTATGAAATTTTGCTTAAATAGTTCCAAAAATAAATCATAGGTTTTCATGCCCAAAATCTATTTTTCTTACATTGTAGTTCTAAGAAAATATTAAGGCTCTACAATCTAAGACAATAAAATTTTGAATTTTTAAATTAAAAACTAATAGATAGGAGATAGGGTTTGGGATCAACTTTTCTTACCAAAAAATAAATCTCTCACTATCACAAAGACCGAATTTCTCTTATATATTACAAAGTAGAGTACTTTTAAGAAAGGAGAAAATAGAGAAATATAAGTGAAATTGAAATATTGAACTCTAAGAAACTTACTTGAGATCAAGAGAAAATAATGTTAAAACTTAAATTCGAAAGAGATTTAGAGTTTAAGGAAGTTTTCTTTGAGAAAGGGAAGTGAGAGAACAATGAAAGAAGTGAGTGAGAGGTTACTTGACTTATAATACAAGTTTTAGAGTAAAAATCTCTTAAACAATTTTTAAAACTCGCAAATTTTCGCTTCAGTGAGAAAATCAAACAAAAGTTACTATTTTTCTACTAATATTTTTGTTCAAGTAAGGGTATTTTCACTTGAGCAAAAACACGACAGAGAACTACGCATTTTTATTGCGAATTTTTGCTTGAGCGAGAGATTTTTTGCTTGAGTGAGAATAGAGTTGAGAAAAATCTGGTCCATTCTCACTTAAGAGAAAATTTTTTGTTTAAACTAAAAAGAATATTCTCTTGAGCTAAAAAGAATATTCTTATTTTAAAAAAATATATATTTATAAAACTCTTCTATTTTGTAAAGAAGAAAATGAAATTGAAAATTAGGATCTTACACCTTGAGTTTCACAAAATAGCAAGAAAAAAGTTATAACACATTTATAAAAATAAACAATAAGTGCAATACAATAAATATATAAATAAGAAGAGTGAAATAAATATAAACAAAGTTCAAAATATTACATAATTAATTAGATTAAGTTTGACTCTAAAAAAATATTCTTAATAGAATCGTCATATGATGTAACTGAAATCACGACGAAACGACGACTACATACACAAAAAAAAGAAAAGAGATAGAAAATTTCTATAATCAACTTTAGGAAAACTAATAATAAAAAATCGTTACCAAATTTTATTAAAGAAAATATTAATTTTTTAAAAAAAATTTGAAACCAAATTTAAGTACGAGAGTTGTTTACATATAAATGGAATATTAACATCTCATGATGTTTGTCGTATAAAATAATTACTTTCTAATTAATAGCACAAAATTATTGTAACTCCTAAATAAAATAGTTTATATTTTTTTTGTAAATTTATTATTATTGCTTTATTTTTAAAAAATTTAAACTTTTATAAGAAATTTTAATTTTAATATTTTAAAAAACACAATTTTAGAAACAAAATTGTTTTTTAATTTGAATTAAAGGAGAAAATTATTTATAAAAACTATTATTCTTTTTTAGTTTTGATAAAATAAATAGATTTGAAAATTTATTTTGATACTTTATTTTTTTAATAAAATTAAGAAAAGTATCCATTTTCATTTTTTGAAAGAAGAAGATTTTATAGTTTTTTTTAGATATTTTTTTATCTACTTTTGAATTAAAAAAAAGTAAAATGATAAAGGGAAGTGAACACAATTGACACTTTATTCCTCCTCTTGAAATAGGAATGCTTGCTGCAGATAGCTCTATTCCTTACTTTAATATTCAATTTTCATTGCAAACCCAAATTGATGGAGACATATGAACATGATTAGATTTAAAATTTAGGTTGAGTTGTATTCTTGTTACTGATAACTTAATATTTGACATTTTTATAATAACAATAGGTCACTCTTAATCACGGAAGAGAAAAATTTATATTGTTAAAACTTATCTTAATAATAAGAATAAAATTTATAATTTTTATATAAATTTTAAAAATAAATTTTTTATTTATAAAAAATAAATTACAAAAATAGATTTTGTATCTATTTAAAAATTATTATTTTTAACTAATACTTTAAAAATTTATCAATCAAGAGGATACTATTATTATTTTTGTCTTTTTATTTAAATTTAACAACTCACAATACAATTACAATGACATGATCATTTACCTTAATTTTAAAATTTAATTATAGAACATATTTCATTTAAATTTTAAATTTAATAATATTATATTTTGTTTACATATTATTTTTTTAATTTACAAAAACAACACAAATCTTCGTTAATCTCTTAAAAAATGTTCCACAGATTAATAAAATTTAAAAAAAGTTGAAAAATGGTTGAATGAAACATAATTAAATTTTTAAAAGTTCCGGGCATTGGTTTGATTTACAATTAAAAATATTTTTTTAATGATTCGTATAAAAATAACTAAATTATAATTTTTTATATGTAAAATATAAATTACCATTTAAATATAAATTTTAACTAATACTCTAAAATTTATCGGTCAAGAGTATATTATTATACTTTATCTACGAATTTAATCTTAGAATAAATTACGTTTACATTTTTAAATTTAATAATATTATATTTATTATTAGTTTTACATATACATATTTTTTTCAATTTACACGCACAGCATAAATTTATGTTAAATAATTTTAAAATAATTATACAAAAAATAATTTGTTTCTTTCTAAAACAGCAAAACAGTGTGTTGTTTTTTCAGAAAAAGAAACAGCATAGTAGGTTTGTACGACCGCATAGGATCACATATAAGGCATATAAGAAGGTGGAAACAAGTTCTTGACTTAGCTTCGCCTCAGACGGAGTCATCGCTTCGGCATTGAGTGTTGTCCCCCCAATCCCAAGGACAGCGATCTCGTTCAGTACCGGTTTGGGTATCCAAACCCTAATGGTAATGGGGTTTAGATCTCTATGCGTTGCTCTTATCGTGCTTGTGGCTTCTCTCGGGATTGCTCCCACTTCAATTTTCGCTGAGTCTCGAAGACCCAAAAATGTCCAGACAGCCCTTCGCGCTAAGTGGCCGGGGACTCCTCTACTCTTAGAAGCCGGGTATGGATATTCCTTACTTCACCTTTTCTCTTTCTTATCAATCGTTTTAATCAATTCAATTACACTCTCTTCATGGCAGGGAATTATTATACAAAGAAGAACCACGCCTTTTCTGGCACTTCATTGACGTTTGGCTCAATGCGGATCACGGCGCTTCTCATTCCGCCAAAGACTGCGTGAAGAGTATTCTAGAACATTCCCGTTCTCTTCTACAAGAACCATTAGCGTCCTTGTTCGAGTTCTCTCTCATTCTGAGATCGGCTTACCCTACCCTCGTCCTTTACCGCCAATTAGCTCACGAATCTCTCTCATCTTTTCCTCCTCTTCATGACAATGGAGATCTTCTTGAAACTGATGACGACGCTGAAATTACTAAACTAGATCTCAAAAGCCCTGCAGGAAAATGTTGTTGGGTGGACACTGTTGACAACTTGTTTTTTCATGTTCCCGA